CCAGGATGCGGCAATGAAGGTCCGAAGAACAGAAAGGGCAGACTGGCGGAGGTTGGTGGGAACGGAATCGTGAGAGGCTATGGCCGCAAGTGATAGGGGGAAAGTCTCGTTGGAATAAAGGCGTAGAAGCTGAAGCTCAGCGGACTTTCTAGTATCGGAGACCGGCGACTGAGTGTCTGCCAGCAATGTCAGGAGCTCTTGCTCCATGTTGATAAGGAAACGTAGGTGAGGAGACGGAAGAGGGTCGATAGGAGTATAGTCAAGAGTTGTCAAACAAGGGGCCGGATCTGGATTCAGGCCCAATCTTTGAAATCCTGGTGTTTCAGATCACAACAGATGGCTCCGTCAAACCACGCTATCGGGAACAGGAGGATTCAGGTAGATGGCTCAAATCAATATCAATCGCGAAATGTCGCGTCGTGGAGGGGCAGAAGACGAGCGGGAAAGGGAGGCGGTGAGGGGTAGAATTTCCCCCAAATTAATTTCCAGTTTGGTTTGGTTTGGGTAGTCCCGCGGGCAACTGAGACAACAACTATAGGTGAATAGGTAAATTATTAGCGTTTGCTGTCAACCAGACTACGAGCTTTCCCTCATCCTTGTCCAGCTATGGTTATAGTGTGCTGTACTGTGTTTAAATTGTCTATTATCAGCACCGTCTATCTTTCAGCCAGCCTTACTTATTATAGACAGCATGTCCCAGGTCAATGGCGGCCAAGCTCTACCGCATATCTTCCCTTATTTCTGGCTGCTAGCAGTAGAAGAAAGACATAACTCGTGAACTGCAAGACATGGGAGAGTAAATTATACTACTAGAAGTCTTCAGTATCCCTGTGTCCTGTTTTCCGACTCACGCCACTGATCATCGGAGAATAAATAGCCTAAAGCCTACAAGCAACGTCTGAGCATCACCTCCCAACGTCTCTGTACTTTCCACAAACTTAACCGGGCCTGAACATCCTGGAAACCAGGGATGATAATACAGTCTTCCTTACAGAACACATGAGAAACCAATGTATTGCAATACAGTTTGACTGAAGTTTGTTATGTGCGTACGCAGATAAGCCGAACAAAGATTTAGACATTCCCAAGCAGCCACATTCAATAGTCTGACAGCCCCCGGTCTCAAACGATAGATGGATTTTGGATAACCTCCGAGACCGGCGACTTGGTCGAACAAAGTATATGCGATGGCGGGTGTCTTGCTGGCTCCTACATTATCCGGTAGAGACTTCCAAGAAGAAGATATAGCCAATACAAAGGTCTGCCTGATTAGCCGCCCAATTAAGGAGGAGGAAAAGTAGGTGCTGTGTCCACTGAAGTCATGAGCGATCAATGGCAGGTAATCGGATCTTAGTGGTCAATACAGGGTGGGTAGATCTGGCTCGCACGTTATTAGCAAATGTGCTCCGTTATTATGCCCAATACATATCACTCTAGGTTGTAAATGGTTGCCAGGGATTGGGAATGATGACAGTGAAGTCTAGTGGTGCGAGCCTCTTGAACCAAGAAGCAGCAATACCTAGCTAGTTATGTGAAGGAGCCAGGACTGAATCAGAGGCGGCATTCTTGTCTCAGTTGCTGATCTGCCTAGGTCGAAGTTTTCTGTGGAGAAGATCTGGCTTCAATCCAATCATAGAAGGAGGAAAGAAAATCCCTTGGATCGTTGTAAATCCATTCTGGAGCCACTTATGGAGAGTATGATGATGTAGAGAAGCAATAGATTTTATTCTTCTGGGTTCCTGCACTGTACTTTTGCTCCAGCCGCGTATTTGGAGCCCATTTTCTCCCCAGGCTCCATGTGTGCCTAGTGGCCAAATGTATGTTTTATGTACTATGTATCATCGACTGTGCTCCGTACAGCGGTGCAGCAAACTTTGGGTAGTGATCACCGGGGTAGCTAGGTAAGTGGCGTAGATGGGGACTCGATGCATTTCTGAAAAGGATGACAGGAAGGAATTGGAAGGGGGGAGTTGTGAGTCGATCATAGTGGGGTTGATGAGGATAAACCGGCAACTCTGATTATCTAACGCCAGCTGAGGGGCGGAACCGCCCAAAGAAGAAAAGTACTACGTTATGGTGTGGTTTGAAATGTACTCCCGGTCGCTGTATGGAGTATGTTATGTCCATACATACACTTACATCATTACTCATTGAAAGATCGGATACCATACAGTTAAAAGTAGCCTCGGGTATTGTATTTAAATGGATCAACGAGGAACAACCTAGAAGGCGATCGCGTGTGCTAGAGCAATTGTGTCGAGATATTCTAATAATAATCAGGGATCGGGTAATAATGCGAACTGGCGACCTTCAGGGCCATGCATAAGACCCGGAATCCGCAGCAGGAGGGGTAAGCTCAAGATAGCTCTCGTATCGCGCGCACTAAGCATTCTTCAGCTTCTCCTCAAGACATTCCGACGGTGAAGGACGATGTTCTGACCTTCAATAGGAGGCCCTTTGTATGATATCGATCTCTGAGGGTATACTGTTTCGGCCGGGAGGAACAACCCAGCAGCAATACATGCAACCACTGCAGAGGGAGTAGATAAATTGGAATGTCATAGTTAAATAGCTAATAATTACTCCGGACTATACTAATCGACTAGTCAACTAGCCAAAACTGATTTGACCTAAATAAACCCCGGAGCAAGCCCAGATTTGATTGATTGAACCTTGGAAACCTTGGGCGACATACGGGGGAAACAGAGTAGTTGTTCCGGCTTTGTAGTAAGATTTCTGGGACGACTAGCTGTTTTGACTTTCGTTCCTTTTAATCTCTCGGAATCCTGACTAATTATTATCGATGCTGCTCCTGTCTTCTACCCCGGTCACCTACGTGTCGATTCAAGTTTGATTTCATGATGATCGGCTCAGTGTACTGGAGTCAGTCATCCCACTAACTGACGAGTCTGGGTCTTGTCGTCTTGTACTGGCGTGGACAATACCAATACGGCGCAGATGCTTACTTACTTACATACCGTCATACATACTGTCATACTTTGCCCAGCGATAATCTTTCATTTTCCTTTGCTTTTTTCCCTTCTTTGCCAACAGAGTGCCTTCCATGAGGTTTGCATTAAGCTACACAGTGCTTGCACGGTGTGGGCTTCTTACTTGTCTCGGGAAGTGTGTAGTCGTAGTGCATCATGACCAAATTCTTTGCCATTCTACCTACATCCTCTGTTTCGCCCCCAAGCTGCGCCTGAGGTACCCCTTTGCGTCACTTGATCCCCTCGGCTAGCATCAAACCCCCCACCGAGAACTAGGATGTAGGCAGGCAGACTCTTGGAGGGGAGGAATGTATGAGTTGTAGACTAGTAGAAGGTGAGCAAGCAGGCAGCCTTGGGGAGTGGGTGGAAACAAGACGTAGGCATACATCGGGCGAGGAAGGGACTCCGTACGTGCGTTGCCTTTTTCCCACGACCAGCAGCAGTATGATGATTGCTGCATGGCATCCACACCCATGACGCAACCACGTGACGGGCTGGGAACCGTGACTTGGGCGCCTTTTACCTGGACGACTCGTCGCCCGACAAGCCTTCCCCTCCGAAGGACTGCCTGCCCGCGACTCTCTCGCTCTGCTCTCTTTCTCTCTCTCTTCTCTCTCTTTCCCTCTCTTTTCCTCTTTTCATATTTCTGTGCTTTGCCGGCGCCTTCTGCTCGCTCTCTTTGCAAAATCTCCCTCTCTACTTTTAGTTCTGGGACCTGAGTGGGCTTCCCTGGTCGAAACGGCCTTTTCCCAATCACAACCAGCTCAAGCCAGCAGCCCACCTCTCCCTTCCCACGCCGCCCCCCCCTCAAAGGGTTGGTTTCCTATCGTCTGCCGTCCCTCCTCTCCCTAGACGCAGAGAGCAAGGAATTAAAAAAAAAAAAGACATAATTTCTTCTTCTTTAGCCAAGTAATACTTTTTTTCTCTCTTATTTTAAAAAAAGTTTTTTTTTTTCCAGGAACAAAAACTTCCGAGGGAGAGGGGAGAGCCAAAGAGGAAAATACTAAAACGGGAACTCCAACCAGGGAAGAAAAAAGGGAAAAAAAAAGGAAATTTCCATCAGCAAAGCAAAGCAGCAAAAGCAGCAACATCGTCGTCGCTGTCGTTATCGTCAAGCCAGAACTCTTCTCTCCTTAATCCTATCCAAGATCTCGTTCACGCCGGTTGTCACGATCTCAACGACTCCATCCATGCTCTGAGGTCTGCTTGTTTCGTCTCGTCCACCCAACGTATGTTTTAATTCCGAAGTTCTTTCCTTACTTTTCGAACCCCAATCCACTCAACTCACTCACTCACTCACCCCTCCCCTCCTCACTCGCTGTCTTTCCCTCTTCTTCCCTTTCCCTCTCTCTCTTTCCCTCCCTCACACTCGTTCCCTTAAACGACCCTCTTACTCAACTCACCACCACCACCACCACTACCACTACCACCACCACTTCCCTCTCACTCCATCTCCGCTACTTTCCCACCAACGCCCTATCTTAGGTGCTTTTCTCTACCCACCCCCCGCCCTCAATTTTGTTTTTTTCTCCCCTTTTACACAACAACTTTGTTCTTATCTCCTACCATACCATCTCCTTTTCTTACTCTTTCGCTTTATTCCCCCATTTTGTCTTTTTATATCATCTTCCCGAGTTCCGGTTTTATTTCCGGTTCTTCGAACTCCTGTTCATTTCCATTCCCTTCCCCCTCCCTATTTTGACCTCGCACATCCACCAACCAACCAACCACCCCCCCTCCTCATCCCTCCTCCCTCTCACCTTGACTACTCCCACCCCACTCTTTCCCCTCTTCGCCTCACCATCCCCCCTCCTGCTGTCGCAAAGGAATACTTGAGTGGAAGAGAGATATATCAACCTCTCCATGAGTGGAATCGAATATTGTTGTTGACTCGTCTGGAAAAAGGCAGAGCGATGATTAGCCTCAGGGTGGAACAGCACTCAGAATCTCCGAGATCCCGTCAAGACCATCTTTCCCGTGGAAACGACGATACCAGAGCCTACGACGGCAATGCCGATTGCCAGTGAGAGTACCACCGTCAACTCCGTTACTACCACCATGACAACTTTTTCCGCCCCGGTCACCGCACCTAGATCGATGCCCAACAATCAGTCTGCGTTGGCGGCATCCTTCACCAATTTCCTCACCGTATCAATACACCAGATCCTGTTTTTACGTTCGGTCTATCCACGAGCCACGTTCCTCCCCGTGCGGGCGTACAACTATCCCGTCCGACAATCCCGTCACCCCAAGGTGTGTGATTACATCAATGACGCGTCAATTGCGGTCGGAACGGAGATCTTGAAAGGCACAATAACCGCTGTCAGCATTATCATCTCCTCCCTCCGTACGAATCAACCTCTCGAACGATATGCCTTTGATTTATCGGGCTTCCCCCGTGTTCCGGCTGGCGAAGTCAATACCACCTTCGAAGACAGAAGGGAGGAACAAACCAAAGCGGGTGTTCCCGTAACCGACCGGGCTTCCGCCCCCACATCAGTCGACCTCGAAGCGCAATTTCGGGCCTGTCTAGCAAGACTGGCTTCAGCTTGTGCGCGCCTGACTCCCTTGCCTCGGGACGATGAATTCAGTTTCACCGTCTGCATCGAGGTGCGGGAAGATGCTTTACCCCCGGCGGGGACCACAACCGAAGAACAGACATGGATTGTGGCCGAACCGGATAAGGTCCACCTCCGATCGTGCACCGCCCCTTACTCCGTTTCTAAGTTGAGAAACGGCGAGCCGCAACAGCCGCCTCCCAAGGTATCGAATGGACGTGCCAAAACGGTCCCGGTACGACGTGTAGAAGCTGGAGAGCTTCGCCTGGAACTATGGGTGGAAGAGGCACGGCAGAAGTTTAATGAACCGGTGGACTCTGAACATCCACCATGAGCTGCGGATCTCTATCTTATAGCTTGCTGCCGTGTTCGTCTAGTTCACCATTACTTTCTGATTTCAGTGAAACATTTTCTGCTCCTTATCTCATATCTCCATTTATCTCATTCTTGTTTTAGCGTGACCAATGATCGAACATACATGATGGATGAGGAAATTAGGCACTGTCGTCCGAGTGAGCGGCGCAAATATATAAAATGGGGAGCGGACGATTTCTGGGACTCGCATGGCATTACATAGATCTGGTTCATATCTTTCCTTGTCTTTTTGCTCGCAATTTCTTTCCGTCCATTTCTGCCTGTCGTCATTCTGTCACGTTCCTTTTCCCCTTCTATTTCTCTTCTCTATTACTACTTATATCTCTCTTCTTTTTTTTTTTTCTTCTCCTTGCCCCTTTTCCTTTTCTCTTTTACCTCCAAATTTTCTCATCTCTGGAGACGTCTCTATTTCTTTTTCCAAGCATTCTTCATTCTCCTCCCCGCCATTTCCACGGAGTGTTCTCATTTTCATACCATTTCCTATTGTATTCCGCTCGTCTCCTTTGTTGAGCTCTCTCTCCAACTACATGATCCTAGCAAATTCAAATATCTAGCAACTAGCTGCCAAAAAGTTGCCAGCATGGTCCCCACTACTCGGGGAGGGTCTCGAGTCCTGTCCGTAATCGTTAATTTGTCCCCATCGCATTTATTTTGGCATATCCTTGTTTCTCTCGGCGTGTGTTTGTGTGTTTGCCTCTGTTCTTCCTTCGCCTCGCTTTGACTGCCGTGCCCATCTTGGAAATGTGATCCAGTGAAAGGGATCTTGACACGATTTGGCTGCATAAAGTCACGAAACCAGCTGATAATGGGATACAGGCGTCCACAGTGTGTCAGTATCACTGAACTCCATATCGCCTTACATGGAAGAAAAATCAAAGCTGAGTTACGGAAACCGACAGGCACACAGCTGCTGCTATTCGAGAAAATTGGGGTGTCTAATACAATTGGTTGTGCTTATCCATAAGGTTGTCTGATCGATTGGCTATGGAAAAAGAACGCAGATGACCCATCTGTATGGAAGGAAACTTTAAAAAAAAAAAGAGGAGGAAGAAGAATGGTTCCTAATGCATCATGTGAGTTATTATTTTTCACCTGTATATTGTGGCATATATGCGTGTTGGTCATGTGCTATGCTGCCTATCCTGTGAAAGTCTTGTCTGGTTCTCTTTGAATCTCCATCAAACACGGCTCTCGTGGTTGCCTTTTTGACTCGTTGTCAGCGCTTGTTGGGCTCAGTTTTCCATCTTATCATCATCGCCTACGTTGTTCTTTTGTTTTTTGACTGGTGCTGTTACTTTTGCGTCCTCATGACTGATAAGATGTGATGTTATGGATATGAGATAGTGATGAGTAGTAGACTAGGCCGGGCACTCGGTAGGCAGATAGGTAGGAAGTTCCTTTTTATTATCTCAATCTCTATAGTAATACTTTTCTCGATTTCATCTTTGGTGCAGTGCACACTTTTCCTTTTTTCATGTTGTCGTATCGTCTTTATGGTCCGTTCCAGCGCGTTCCGTAGTCATATGATCCCTCTCTTCATGCGGCAGTCCGTCGCTGTAATCTAATCCTGAACAAAAGTTATTGGTGGATTCAATCTCGCTTTATACTAGTTCTCAGGTCATGTAGGCCATATCACGTGATATCATATACGATATCCTACACATTTCAGCTGATTCTTACCCCGCCAGTTTCTTGCATGTACTATACTCCAAGATAACCAGGACATGTGATTTCTGATTTGTCATAATATGATCTTCCTTTTAAATTAGAGTTCTGAATGCGTCGAGGCATCGTAATTACAGAAGAGCTGGAATATATCGATGACTACTTTAAGAAGTAGATGAAGAGAGAAGAGTAATAACCAAGTCATTGATTCATTGGATTATGCCAAAATGAGAATCAGATATCCATTCTAAGTTACCTTAACCAAGGGAAATGGTGAGATTAGAGATGATAGAGAAGGAAATAATAGAGGATTAAAGAAGGATGGATGAGGTAGGGGTGCTGGGTGAGAAGGGAAAGAAGGGGATGGGGGGGGGATGTGATGGAGATAGATGCTAGGGGAATCGCTTCAGTGGTTCAACCATTAGAATAATAAAACCAAGACCTGTGATGGATTCCAACATCCAAGAAAGCTTTCTATCAATAACGGGTCAGTGCTTGTCTGTGTTGTCTTCGTGCTCGGATGAAGCAGGGGTATGATCGCTGTTGGGTGTGTCTGGCAAAAGAGAACATTTCTGCGGAACGCTGAATAGCCGATTGCTGTTATACCGAGAGCGATGCGGGAGGCGAGAGATACGGTGACGGGTTAGACGCTGGATTTGATGTGAAGGTAGGAAACAGGAACTGTGTTTGGGAAAGAGGGAGGGAAGTCGGTATACCAAGATGGGAGCTGCAGTATCGACACGTGTCAATCCAGGGTATGGTGTGTCGCTTGTTCTGGACTGAAACGAGGCGCAAAGGCTTAGCGGAGCAAATGATCGTCCATCAAGGTCGTCGATCAGAATAGTGGTTGGCGCCTGACGGATTCATGTTGATACCACTAGTATCGCCATGGGGGTCTGGTATCTACCCTTCTCGCCGGATCTTGAAGAGGATTGCCCTGATTGTTCACACCCCTATGTACGACGTTTGTAGGCACAGGGCGTCCTGGTGGGTTCGTAGGTTGTCCTAATGGGTGCTGAAGCCAGCCTTGTCCACCCCAGCCATTTTGGATGCCAACAGGTGCATCGAATCGGTGAGCAACAGCTGGGGGATTGGCTCTTCCTACTGGAATAGCTGGCCCTGGATACACCACATGATTGGGCCGGATTGGCGCTTGCCCTAAATGGCGTAAGAGTCCATTGTCAGGACCTTGAAGGACGTGCGACATATTCGCGGCCGAGTCTTTTGCGTCATGGACTCGCAGCTCCTCCTCCTTTAAATCAGGGTTTTGTGCCAATAAACTATCGATAGTGTCTTTTTGAGCTTTCTCAATCTCTTGTAATGAGCGTAATGCTGGATTGTCATGGAGGGGACAGTGGGTCGGAGCACGCCCGAAATGCTCGTACATTACTCGGGAAATATCTCGTCTGCAAACGTAGCACATTGCAGTCCGGCATTTGGAGCAAATCATCCTGTTGCAGCCCATCTCCTTGACAATCTTCACTTTGCATTTGGGGCAAGGGCGGATCAGAGCCTCGCTCATTGCCTCTTCGACTAAGTGACGTTGAGGAAGATTCTTCTCTTTGTTGGCTTCTGCGCAAGTGCGCGGGATATGGCTTTCCTGCTTGCAGAGACGACAACTAACTATTTCGCATTCAGGGTTTTTGCATACGAACTCGCGGTCCTCTTCCACGGGCGGATAGATGGCTTTAAATTCACAGAACGGACAAGATTCAAGACCTTCCAGCTCAGCTTGCTGGATCTCATCTTGCTGCTGAAGGCGGTCGAGCTTTTCCATCAAACTCTCGCCGATAGCTTCTTGTAGCCGCGCGCGAGAAAACTTTGCCTGACAGCCACTAGTATCGACACACTGGACTTGATATCTCATAAGCCCAATTTGAGTCTCCGCAGACTTTCGAATGCACGCAAAGCAGAAGAGATGGACGCTATCACCCTCACAAGGAAGTGATCGGTTCGCTGGAACATCGAGGTAGCAACACTGGCATTCGATGAGGTTCCCAGCTCGGCTGTGTTCTTCTTCGTTTTTGATCTCAGCCTCTTGCTTTTCCTTCTTCTTGCGAATGGCATCTTTGCGGGAGAGTGATGATCAGTATGTATCCCTTGTTATCAGAGAGAAATCACTTACCGTCCTCCTTTTCAGCTTTCTTCTTGGCGGCTCCTAGTTCGCGAGCCAGGTTCTCAGCAATAGATACCTCATCATCCTCTTTGCCCAGATTTGGTACATTCGAAAGCCTTTTGCTTCTCAGTTTTGTGTACTTTCCCGTCTGTTCACTCTCTTGAGAATGTAGAGTGAGATACGCGGCAAAGAGCTCTTTTTTCTCTGCCAGAACATCCCGAATATGTTTCATCGGCATCCACCCAAATTCTTGGGCTAACAAATTGGCTCTAAAGTAGAAGGTCAGCGTTTAGGATTTCATGATTATAGGCGGTGCACTTACGCTAGTTGGACGTATGCACGACTACCTCGTTGTGGTATATCTCGCAAAGACCGTATCGTAGCTTCCTCGTCTGTGTCCTCAATCTTACGTTTCTTGGCCTTTTCCTGCTTAGGATAGCTAGGATGCCGTAAGATATCTTCAATAACACTTTCCTTCAATGAATCTAGGGGCGGCGCAGGTTGGTTCTCTTGGGGCTTCTTATGAAGTTCGATCAGCTCTTCCACATGCTGGTGACTGATGCCCGGAAAAATGTCTGTGATCTGCCACAATAATTCATCGTCCAAAGTGAGATCGATGTAAACTGCTTCAGAGTGCGTATTGGAGCGTGATGAGGTTGACGTGGTGGCAATGGTCGATGGGCGCGAGGAGGCTCCTGACTCGATCCCTGACTCAAGACGATTGTAATCATCATTATCACTGTCTAGGATGTTGATTATGGATTCATGACTGTTGCTGCTTTTGCTGCTGCGACTGCTGTCGCGACTAATCTGCCTTTGTTTCTTCATTGGTTGGTCATAGTCAGGCAAAGGATAGAAACCGTGCTCGTACAAATCCCAAAGCAGCGCAGGGTTGTCATCCAGAGTGAGATCTGCATTTGCATGGTCCATATATCCCATTCTTATAGGAAGCGCAGAATACAAGGGATTGGTGAAATTGGGCCCCTCCATTGTTCTTGTTGCTTTGAGCGAAAAGAAAAAGCGTTATATTCCTACGTTTGAAAGTTTCTGAAACGGAATCCAAGGTGAACCAAAGGATCAGAGCTGATGACAAAAGTAAAGTGAAATTGAGGGCCGCTAATTAGCTGTGGTTGGTTTTTATTAGGGGAAGGAAGTAGTGGTGAAGATGTTAAATGAAGCGTTGCCTGGAGAGGCAGACCCCGCGATAATTGAGGAACGTCGGCAACAGCCGTATATCGCTCGGGAGAGTGAAAGTAATGTGATGGGGCTATCTATGCTCTATCAGTCTGAAGGGCGTGCGGCTGTTTGTAGAGCAATAAGCGTACAGCCAAGGCGAGCTTGGCTTATTGTCTTGTGTACACCTGACAAGCATGAATGGATGATACACAAAGGCTGTCAGTGAACCTACTCAAGTGAGGATCAGGCTCGTCCGAGGCCACCACCCAAGCAAGGCCGAGGAAACCAGCCCACAGCCTCTGAGTGTTTGCAAGGCGCTATCCTGCTACCAGGTCGCTAAATTTGTATAGGAAATGTTGGTGAATGGAGAGATATTGTCTAGAGGTTGATCATCCGAAGGCCTGGTCACCCAACGGGGAATAGTATCAATAGGCCCAAGATTGGCACACACACAGTGGGGCAGAAGTCCGTCAACAATGCTGGGGAAAATCCTATCTACAACGGGGGTAGTTCCGTTGTAAGCCGTAGACTAAGACACCGATCAGGCAAGTAAATGGAGGAGGCGTCTCAGCCCGTGACGCTAGACGGAGAAATAAGAAAGCAGCCGCCACCATCCAGACGGAGCAGCAGCAATTGCGAGAGACTGAACGGGGATTCCTCGAGTGGGAGAGATGGTTGGGGGGATCCAGAGAATCAAACCCCCGCCGGGTCTGACAGCTGCCCCACGTGACAGGTACCGGTACTCTCCGACCGCCTGCCCAGTATGGGAACTGTCTTGTTTGTCAAATGCCTACAAAGGGGGGGAAAGTCAAACAATCTGACTGACTCATCACGCGCATTCAACAGAACTAGAAAGTTAATATCAAGTTCCGGGCAGTTTGATCATTCCTAGACAACTCGATCCAAAATAGCTTGTAGCCCATTATATTCCACGGCGTCATTTCAATCCAACCCCGGTAGTCCCCGAACCCCAGACCAGATTTCCACCCATTCCGGCGAGCCCTATGCCCTAAGGAATTGTGTGGTCATCATGCGCCGCTCGACGTCACGGGGCATGAGACGCAACCCAATCCAGGCAAGTCCATCCCTCAGCTTCTTTTACCGCTGCGCTTGTCGCCGCTTGTCGTCGGCTGTCGGGGCGAATAGAATCAGCTGCCTGCGCGTCCAGTAAGTTATCCCGGGCACGTCTAGTTTCTTATCCTTATCGGTTCATCTATTATATTCGGTGCCCCCCTTGCGGTCTTGCGCGGACTCCGGTCAAACACCTTCGGAGTTGCTCCTTTGCTTTAAACATTTGCTTTCTCTGAACGCGCCGTGTAGTCCTTTCACCACTTCTCTTCACTGGAATCGCTTTCACCCTTATACCCAAGTTCCTCCATCAGACAACAAGAACGAACCCCTCTTTCTACCAAGTAGACATCAATCATGATCGCTGCTGACAACTCCTATTTCAACGGCAAGGAGCTCCCTCAAGGGGACTCCCCTGACCTGGTGCTGGTTCCTGCCACCCCCGGGGAGCGGATTGAGTCCATTCGTCTCAACAGCAAAGCATGGAAGGGCCGTCTGGACCTTGAGACGTATATCACGCGTGAGAACCATCTGTATCAGCAACGGCTGAATAAGGATGGCTTGACCTGTTGGATCTTGGTTGATCGCAAAGAGCCGGAAGAGCATAGAACGATCCTCGGTTCTTGCGAAACATACCGAAAGAAAGCCATGTTGGCACATGACGGTATTGTGGAGGACGTCGCAACTCATGGTATTGGAAGTGTCTATTGCCGGCCGGACTTCAGAGGTAAAGGATACGCCAAGAGAATGATGCAGGAGCTGAGCGAGAAGATCGAGACTTGGAAGATGGAGACAGAGACTCGAAAGCGTTGCCTTTTCACAGTTCTCTTTTCTGATATCGGAAAGGACTTTTATGCTCAATTTGGTTGGCAGCCATACACGTCATGCCATTTTGCCTTGTCGCCCATTTCCGAGGAAGTCTATGCCACTGCCAATGCTCAGGCAAATTTCCCAAAAACAAGGATTTTGACACCGGAGGACGTCCACGAGAGCATTTGTAGTGAGGAGGTCTTGCAAAAAGAGCGTGAACTGTTGAGGGCGGCCTCTCAAAAGTCATCAGTGCCCAGAATTGCGATTGCACCGAACTTCGAGCACTTTGAATGGCACTGGGCAAGAGAAGAATTCTATGCGGAGAGGATATATCCCGACCGCGAATTGCCTCGCGCAAAGGGTGCTGGAGAAGACAGTGCCGGGGTGTACTGTGCCTGGAACAGGAACTTTGGTGAAACGCCTGAGGAGAATACCCTGTACATTCTCCGATGGGTGTACGACGAGCCCACCTCACCAGAACAGGGCGAAAAGGTTGTGAAAGCCATGGCGGCGGTCCTGCGACGTGCTCAGCTCGAAGCGTGCAGATGGAACATGGCAACAGTTGAGTTCTGGAACCCAACGCCGCTATTGAAAAAGGCAGTTGCCTTGCTGGACCCCAAGGCCGAAGTAGTTCACCGGGAGAAGAGCAGCATCGCGTGCCTGAGATGGACTGGTGCCGAGCACGGCTTGGGTGCAAACGTGGAATGGCACTTGAACGAGAAATACGCCTGGTGCTGAGACACAACTGCTTCCACCCTGATAATCTTCATAATGCCTCTAGAATTAGAGCCTCAACGCTTCTGTCGCTTCTGGTTTTTGAACAATTCATGCCAGTTTCTTGTCTTTTTCGCAGCGGTAGACGCACTAGCATCTGTCGAGAGATTCTTCTTTAGTTTCTGCCGATCTTCATCACTGACAAAGCAGACAGTCGTTGGATCAGGGAATCGATGCTTGTCCTCCTGTACACACTGTTAGAGTAGAGCAAGAAAGACGAAGATAAATATCCTACCGTAAGCTTCGAAAACGTAGCTTCCTCCCTCCAGCCTTCTGGCAGATGATCCTTCCAAGCGTTGAGAAATTCGCTACGTCCAACAGCAGCAGCCGCCGTAGGCGCCGCAGCCTCTAAATAGGTTTCACCAACCCATCGCACGCACCGCTCCTTATCAATACTAGCCCCTGCACCAGTAGATAAAAGAATCAGCTCCCGCCAGTCAAATCCACGCCTTCCGGGGGTACAGGAAACTTACACTTTAATTCCCCCTCCAACAACGACCCTTCATCACCAGTCTCACAAACCCTCCCTACAACCGCCTCAAACAACTCCCTCGGCCACTCACCCTCCCCATCTTCATCAAGCATCGACTTCCACAAATCCCCTACCAAGAATTGCGTCCCCAGATCAATGCCCTGCAACACAGCCCCCTCAACCACCCGCTTCCACACCCCAACCTTGGCCCTCGCCGTCGGCACCCACCCACGGCCCGTAGCAGGTAGCACAAACGCACAGATATCCTTCCAGGCCCTCGCACATTGCAGATTCGACACCGGAACATCAGCAAATAACTTCTCAACAATCTGCTTCCGGTCTGTAGAGTCTACCATCATCCCTCCGTCCCCCGTAGACATGGAAATGTCATCATTAGAGTCGTACTTTCCCAGCAACACCTCTAATATCGGGATAATGTTGAACCCCTCCTGCGGGGTGTGTAGTTCAAGCGTGGACCCGCACTTCGCGATCGCAGTCATTGTCTCCGAGAGGTTCAGGTCGGGGACGGGCTCGTCGTTTTCCTGTGTGGCGCCGATGACGGCGAGGTCACCGCGCTGGGTACCATCGTCGCTTGGGCGGAGGACATGCAGTGAGTTGGAGGACTGGACTTGGCGAATGCGGTAGGTTTGCGTTGGGGTGCAGAGGTTGATGTAATCGCGGGTGGTGTCGGTGGGAGCGTCGGTGGAATCTGTGGCGGGTGTGGGGGATTTGATTTCGAGGCTGTTAGTTCAATTGGTTAGTTCGGCGTTCCTTGAACTGGGTAGAAGAGGGGTAGAGATTGGCATCGAGTTGCTGTAGACGTACGTTGGAGGATTGTCGGAGGCAAGAAGTTCTGCGAGATCTGGTGGCAGTTCGAGTAATCGGAAGGCCTGTTGCGGGGCCGTGTGGGTGAAGAGGATGCTCTGGGCGGATTGTGTGGACATCTTTGACCTCAATGCCGTTCCAGGACAGAAGATAAGGACCTGTGGAAGGGTTGCAGTCGCTTAGATTATGTTCCCTTCCTGAGGATTGTAGATGTGCAGAGGAACATTCCGGGTGGGCTTCGGACGCGGTACGCGTGCTTTTCGAGATCGATGGATGCACGGGCCACCGCTTAATTTGCAAAGGGCACTTGCCATGTGCCTAGGGTGTGGGAATCAGAACGAATTTACATCTCACGGAATTTGGATGTGGAACATCGTTCGGAGCTGTTGTTTAGTTTAATATAGTAATTCATTGGTCTATGCTGTACATAATTAAAAGCTATCATCTCAGCCATAACAGAGATCAACAAGAATTATGTGTTTCTTGTGTGATCAAACAATCAAGTAGAAGCAAAGGAAAGGAAAGCCATGTCAAATATAGTCCCCAACACCATTTACACAGTACAGGAGCCCATCCAGAAACAGTAGTTCCAGTGAAAGAAAGGCGCCCTGTGGCCAGCACAGCGCTGTATGGTCAGTCTATAGTGAGGTTTCCAGCGCCGTTGTTCGAGAAAACTCCCTGACCCAATTCTTGTGGCTCGTTTCGACTATCACTGGACCTCGACGCTCCAAGCATCACTGCTCTATTGCTTCGCCTGTTTTCTTTCTTTTGTTGACTCTTCCTGTTTGATCGCGGCACTTCCCTGCTCTTTCGCAGCGGGCTGGGCCACGGGACCTTCTTCGCTGCCTTTGGTACTATCGGCATCCGATGATGACGAGTAGTCACTCGCCTGGCTCTTCCCTTCCTTGTCGATGGCTTCTTGTATAATCGCAGTATCGTCCTCCCACTGCGACTTGGCGTCCTTGAACAGCGTTTGAACCCGCTCAGCACGCTCAGCCTGTTCTTGTTCTTCTCTCTCACGCTCCAGTCGCTCCTGCTCCATTTCCTCCATATGCTGGAGGTCATCCACACTCGGCTCGTAAAGATGCCAAATCGTGTAGTGCGGAAGGCCAATGACTGAAAATCCCATCCGTCGCGCCATCTGTTTAAAGTTAGTATATTACATATAGAGTTACGAGCGTAAAGTCTCACCTTGCCGAAACCTTCAGTCTCGGCGTGCTTCTCGAAACTGAAGGCTGGGAAATGGACACCGGCCCGGAAGACACGGGCCTTTGCCAGAATACTGACACCTCCCACACCATCAAGCTCCATCTCCATATCAGGATCCCCGTACGGGTCACGCAGATATGCGAGGTGAGGTCTCCACGTTGCATACTCGGCATAACCCTCCACGATGACTGCATCCTCGTCCAGAGTTTCGGCAAGGGCCAGCGCGGTTTCGGATTCCTGCCAGGAGTTCAAATCGTACGGTTGTTCCCCACCTAGCCAATCCGGCAGGGGACGCCAAACATCTATTCTCAAGGTTAGAATGCAACAGCAGAGGTCGCGCGTAGTACTTACTCGGAACGATAACATCCTTGTCATGTCTCATAAGGTCCTCCAAAATCGTAGTCGGAGCCGTCAAGACATCTGCATCTCTCCAGTAGACCCAGCTATGCGTCGGACGCAGAGTCGCGCTAAGCAGCCAGTTCCGTGCCTGGGCCATCAACTTTCTGCGACTTGCCTGGGCGGCAAAACCGTGTCTACTCTCCACATCTTGTTGAACCTGTTGACCAAAATCCTTCTGAATAACCGAGATCTCTCCGAACGACATCTTCGGATCGGCGTCGTTCTGCAGATCATCCAGCATCGATGACAACATTTCCATCGTATCGTCTTCGGAATCCGAAACCAAGAATGCCAGATCTATAAGATTATGAGGGTATGTAAGGTTGCGAAGATGCGAAAAGAACATCGGCAGGTGAGACGCGGCGTCCCTCAAGGGTGTGCACATGAGTACCCGTTCTCCATGCTCCCAACCACTTCCACTGCCCTGCATCTTGGACAAGTCATAGTATCGAACTGTTTCTAACTGTAGATCTTCGGCGGAGGAAACAAGGCCAAGCGAGACTGCGGGGAGGAATAACGCTCGAAATGAAGGGAAAATGAGGATCAAAAGCAGCGTTGAAACGGCGGCAATGAGGCACAGTCGTTGAAGGAGCTGTCTTCGACGTCGCAAAGCCGGTTGTGGGCGCGGTTGAAAGCTAGTAAATCAATGTCAGTCAAAACATTCTCCTGCACAATGAATTTGATGACCGATATGCCAGACCACCGATTGGCCTTCAACGAGATCGATTTCATGTGAAGGTGGTGTTGGTATGCGATGATCTTCGACCGTTGCAGGGGCCACTTACCGGTGGGGAGAGATAGAAAAGGTGTTGTGGCTGGCTTTGCCGCGAGGATAGGCAGCATAGCCATTCGAGAAGGCGTGATGCCGATTCATCTCTCCTACAATTGCATGTAGCTAGGAAACAGGTCCTGAAGCAAAGAACCTCCGGGGCTCCTAGATCCCGGAGCGATGACCACCAGCTTCAAGAATCCCTGGAATGCGCTTACGGGGGGAGTAAGAAAACAACACCGACGTGGGCACGGGCGACGAAGAATGTTAGCGGATCGCAGATCCAGGAGATTAATAAAAAGGTACCGAAAAGGAGTCAAGGGACCGAACGAGCGTGAGAATTGAACAACGAAGTCTGACGGTAGCATTGATTGCGTCGACCGAACGTAGGCTCAAGGCGGCGACGAGCAAGAAGCGCCAAGCGTGGCCCGCCTTTCCGGGTCCAGATCCGAATCCGGCATCAGGCCTGCTACCGTTTGCAGCCATGCAACCTCCCTCTTGCTCGTCTCTCTCCTCTCTTACTCCACGTTTTTCTCGGTTCCATTATCTTCGGATCAGCTGCGGTGGTTATCCATCTTGATTGGCGGCTAATAGATCCTGTACAGTTCATTTTCTAAATACAGCAAATGTGGATTTTCATGTCCCAAAAACTCCTTATCTGCAAACCCAGGTTCAACCAAAGATTCGAAGTAACGCCCTAGAAATGCTCCTAATTTTGGGATAGCACCACGCAAAAGGCACAAAACAGAAGAGATGATGTCAGAAGTATTTCCAGGCTTGCCAACTAACGCGCAGTCAGCCGCGATACTCTTGATTGAGGCGAGCCCATGCCCTTGACGCCTATCTCGATCTGTCGCATGATCTTCTGCAGCAGCCCATCCATGCGCGGCACATCCCGCAAGGCCGGAATGACGGATGCGGCCTCGTATTCGCTATCCAAGATATAATATCGTTCCCTTCCCCAGTTCTCCACCGTCTCCTTCTGAAATGCGACTCTCGCAATAACTTTGGCTGGAACGCTAGCCTTGTTTATCGCACTCTTGGAAAACACCCGCAGGAATGGCCGGAGTCCAGACCGCGTCTGGTGTGCCATTCGGACCGATAACGGGGCATCGGTCGTTAGGTGGCTCTCTCCGGTCAAACCGCCGGGATCCATTGTGTATACATTGAGCGAGATGTTGCCCGTCTACCCCATTCGGCTTTTGTTAGTGGGGTACTTTTGGAACCGTAAGGAAGGACTACTCACAAGTACCAGACTTCGACGCAGGGCATACATGGCAGCGCTCATTAGCAACTTACTACTTCCGAAGCGACTGGTCGCTTCCTTGGCGCCAATTGGTGTTCCTGGCGGCTGGGTGACACTCTCCGGGTCTTCGCCGTCAAAATAGTCCAGGGATCCCTTGGATATGGAAGAGCACCCGATATTGATTACTCGAGCACCACCGTTCGGTGTACCGTCGCCTGCGCGGAAGGCCTCGAGCAGGCTCACGGTCAACAGGAACGGCGCGATGCAGTTGGTCTGGTAGACGGGATCGTACCCATCTCGTGTGACTTGATCGGTAACGTATGACGAAGTTGCGGCGGAGTTGATCAACAAGATCACGGGAGGGATCTCTTTACTTCGCACCCTCTCGACGGTGTATTGGGAAAAGCTCACGACGGAGTTAAAGCAGGCCAGGTCTGCCTTAACCACCTCGACGGAGCGGGGTCCAATGAGACGGATCCTGTCCGTCACATCCTTGACGCTGTCGGATCTGATATCGCGGGCCACTAGCAGCAAGTGAACAAAAGGCTGCGCTTTGGCAATCGAGACAGCTATCTCCGACCCGAGCAATCCATTCGCGCCGGTGATAATAGCGGTACCAACAAGTGGAGTACCCATGACGAAGGTTGGCCAGCACAACCAACAAGAAGTCCAAGAATAGATATCAACGGTAAGGGGGTAGTAGAGAAGTAGGTAACAAGAATAATAGCAATGTCAGCGTAGAGCCGAACTCAGCGCTATAACATGCTTAGGGCGCAAGAAAAAAGGTTCGAGAAGACAAGAACAAGAGAAACCCAAAATCGCAAACGACAGGCGACAGGGTCTCAGAAGTTTAAGAATCACGGAATCAGTCAGACAGACAGAGACAGACAAGATGATTAGTTCCCCTCTAAGCGATCAGCAAACAGGGTTCATTAGATAAATCCCGATCAGAGCATGATGGGGCACTTTTCGGCAAGTCAGTCTCCAGTAAGGTAAGGTAGGTCAAGGCAATCACCGACAGCCTTTCGCCTCAAATTACAGTAGCAGAAGTATTAGCAGTAACACAGCGACGATGATAATAATAATAGTAATAATAATAAATCAAAATGGAATAAAAACCCCAGGACTAACAAATTGCAGCAATTGCTGACCACCAGCAAAGCACAAAGGGGGCAAAATAAAAAATAAAAAAAAAAAAAAAGAAAAAGGAAAAGGAAAAAAGTCGTATACGAGTAAGAGGCCCAAGAGGAGAAAAGAAAAAAAAAATTAGTTTACTTGCACTCGATCCCCGTTCCCGAACCAAGGAAATCGACCAAGATCGAGGCGCCGGGAGCCGATGGGCTAATCGGGGGTTAGTTAGTTAGTCTAAGTAACTAGATTTAGAATGGATGGATTAGTTAGTTAGTTTTGAACGCCAGGCGGATAAGAGATGCTGCGCAGAGAAAAAAAAGAAGCGACAAGAACCAACCAGGCCGGAAGTTTGAAACCGTGGGTGGGGAGGGGAGGGAGGTAACTAGTAACTAAAGTAGAAAAGTAGTACTAATCTAGGATTGTTCTCCGTAGGACCATTGAAAGTGAGGATGGATTTTGGGGGGAGGGGGGATCCACAGGCTTGGGTTCTTCGGATTGAGAAAACCTGAAAGGAAAAGGAGATGATGGATGGATGGAGCTTGGACGATGGATACTTACTTACTTACTACGTAGTTGGTTAGCTGGTTAGGTAGTAGCAGTAGTCTAGTCTTAGGTTAATGGATACTTATGTGTGGTTATTAATAGATGGGAGGAGGAGTTTGGGTATGGTGTCAGTTAGGGTACCAGGTAATAATGTCAGGATTTATGCACTTATTATCATCGTCATTATAAGGTAGATGAAACATAGGTAGATACTTATTACACTAATTACTCTTCTATTACTTATGATCAGGCCATCTAATAATCATGATCAACACTCATTATTCCCGACAAACAAACTGTAACAGTCGTGAGTTAAAATTTGCAAGGATTTCATTCTCCAGTCCTTGCACTTTCCTCTCTGTTCCTTAAATTAGCACAGGTTGAAAGAAGGAAAGGCAAAAGGCAGGTCAGCGTAAGTGGAGGCGAGACATGCATACAGTCGACGGCAGCCACTGTTACGCCCCTTTATGCATGTAGAAGACATCGTTCCAATTCCATAGTCTTCCGCGTTACTGCTGGTTACTTGAACGGAGAGAGAACTTTGTATTCTTTTGACTCATCACCTCATCATCTTAGTATTTGAGTAACCAATTCATCAGCTAATAAACTGGACTAAGTGTGTGAATGAATAATCAATAAATTATTCTCCGATACAACATACTTGTGTACCACCTCTGTTCTCATCGTCGAAGAGTGACGTTCACATCGCCAACCCGACTATCCTATTAACAGCAACATGAATATTGAACAAGCACGGTTGGGATTCAAATAAAAAGAAAAGCACTCATGATAATTCAATTATCCCTGACCATAAGATCTCTTGGAGTAAAAATAATAAAAATAAAATAAAATTCACTACACTTTCATACTGCCATTCCATATCCCACAAGTACCTGTCCGTCCGTGCATCCAGACACATCGTATACCACTAACGACTACTAAGTACTTACTTCATACCATCTCGTAACAACCTTGCACCATTTGACGTGATTCCTCATACTACCGACGACTTACCCTTACCCCAAAGTGGCGCGATCGAACGCATGTTCCTTCTGCAGACTAGTATACACGCTAAGCCGGACTAAGTAGAAGTAACTAATGACCGGGATATGTCTGTTGTGCTTTGTGCTTTGTATTTGTATTTGGGACCGAAGGGAAGGACACGAAGAAAAAAAGGGTAAGCAGGGATTAAGGGTTTAAGTGCGCGTGATGATCGGATACTACATAGATGAGGATGAGTTGCGTTATCTCCGAGGCGAAGGGTGGGGAGATCTCGGAGGTAAGTAAGTCATTATTTCTACTACTTAGTAGCTTAATACATCAAAGGTGGGAGATTTGAATAGGGGACAATATTACTTAATTGTGCGATATGCTGTGTGTCTGTGTAGGGGGCAATGTTGGAGTGGCGACGAGGTCTAGACTACTGTAACTTTCTCCCCTTCAATTGCCGAAATTCCGATCATTGTTACTAACTACACACTAAGCTTACTAGATATTGGGATATATGACACCTCGATTCGACTAATTATTCTTCGGGAATAGGACGAACTGACATGGCCGGCCAGCATCTCCAATTGTCCAGAACGAACTGGCGTCGGGATGAACCATCCCCGCTGAATCAGGCGGAGTGGAGTCATCCAACCAACTCACTAGTTAAATAAACTAGTTGACATCTGACGGACGGGTTTGCCCGCTGGACGCTGCTCCTGCATCGAACTACTTGGGGATGGATGAGGTTATACGAGAAATCGACCCCGCCCCGGCAGAGTTGCGCGGGAATAGCACAGCTTGGCACCACCAGCCGTTCCGAAAGACTGGACAGCGTGCTGTCGTGGTTGCACTTGCCATCCCTGTTCAGTCTCTCGTATTCATTCCCACACACGTGTTGGATGTCAAAGGTAGGTACAGTAGCGTACATCCCCCGCCTCGCCTCGCCTCCTCTCCAGACACCTTCCTTCTTCCCATGGATACTGAGAGACAACACTACAGGGATCCATTCTACATCACGCACAATAGCTAGTGCCGTATTCCCCTTCCCCGGGCGGACCAGTCTACGACACGGAGTGCCCGGATTATAAAATGCCTTGGCATTGCTGACACGTCTGCTTCTGCTGGTCTCGGCATTGCAAGAAAACTGGCTGTGCTGCGCCTTCAAGAAGTACGCCAATCCTCGGGTGAGAGGGAAGATGTGCATGGTATGGATGTTGTCATGTATAACACGGGCTAAAATGCAAGTAACAACACACGTATCTGGATTTGGACCACGTCGTGCAACACACCGCCAGCCGCAGCTGATCAATACTCGTCCCACTCGCCCTGGATGTCTCGGACTTTCATGCCGAAATGTCCACCAAGATCTTGATCTGGTTGTCTCGGCCGTGAATTAAGGAATTGAAGCCTTTCTCGACGATGTCTTCCATGCGGATTTTACTGGTGATTAAGGCCCGAGGGTTGAGTTTGCCTGTGTTCAGTCAGCTTCGGTATAACGTGTGAATAGACAAGCATGGCTGGCATGTGTAGGTCATAATTCTGGCAGTCACGTACCTGACCACATAGCATCGATGACGGCCTCGAATTCTCCGTCTTCATATATCACCGACCCTACCACGTGCTTTTCGCCTAGTACCACGTCAAATGCATCGATTGCCGGCTTGTCGCTCCAGAGAGATAGAATCGCCATTGTGCCCCGTGCCCGGATCCCTTTCAAAGCGGTATCCAGTCCCGCTTGGACAGCAGAGCATTCAAATGCTATATCAGCTCCGGCATTGCCCGTCATCGCACGCACCGTGGCCACAACATCCTCTGTCCGGGGGTCAAGAACACGCGTAGCACCCAAAGAGCTGGCAAGCTCCCTCCGCTGCGACGCGACCTCCACGACGACAATGTCCTGTACGCCACGGGCCTTGAGAACCAGAATTGCAGCAAGCCCAATGGGTCCAGCACCCACCACCAGCGCCGTACGAGCATGAACATTCTGGATAGAAGACCGATTGACTGCATGCCATGCCACAGTCAACGGCTCAACCAGCGCTACACGATCAGTATCATGCCACATCTTTAACGGTAAAAAACGATCAACTCACCCCCAAGATCCAACTCAAACCCCACCGGCAATCTCACAGCCCTGTCCTCCTTGACAACAACATAATCCGACAGTCCCCCAGCACTACCTGCGCATAGTCAGCTAATCCCTCAAGAGAGGAGAGAAGAATGGGAAATACCACTAAACCCCACAAACCCCAAATTATCACAACAGTTCACCCAACCCCCCAGACAAGCCGCACACCCACCATCAAACAGATTCGGCTTAATAGCCACATTATCACCCACATGAAGACGAGTCACTCCCTCCCCTACTTCTATAATGATGCCGCTGAACTCGTGACCTAGTGTCACGGGAATCTTCTCCCCCGTAATGGGGTGCATAGTGCTCGGGATGGTCGACGGGCCGTGGAGGTATTCGTGGATGTCTAATCAGTCTACTATTAGCCTGGCCTTGACTTTCTGCTCGTAGCATATATCAGAGATAGGTTTAGTGGGGAGGAGATGTGTTCGTACCACTACCGCATATACCCACAAAAGCAGGTCGGATCTAATCAATATTATATCATAGTATATCAGTATATCATATCGTAGCAGTAAGATAGTAAAAGATTCAACCGAGGACCAACACAATCACAAGGTTAGAATAATATAATACTCAAAATAACCTGCTAGGAACTGAAATAAGAATAAGATATTCATACGAACCTTCACCTCACCCACCCCGCACGACCCGGGTTCCTGGATCTCCTCGACTCGGATATCGCCTTGGCCGTGGTATCGGACTGCTCGCATGGTTATATTAGATCCTTATTATATGGCAATGTATGTCACTTCGGAGAGTAGTTCTGGCAATAATGGTATGTATGTAATATACTAAGGTTGATTTTGGCAAGGAAGATGGATGAGAAACAAGAATGGTCCTGAAGGTGGTCAAGTTTGATGATTATGTTCCGGTAGCGGGAGATTTCCGCGATGTTTGGGTACGTTCTGGGAGGGGGTGTGAACGGTAAACTTGGCAGGTATTGTTGTGAGGGGTAGATTTACTCAAGGTGAGGAGAAATGTGAAATAAGGTGGTTTAGTATCAATAATTCATTCCCATTCCTCGTCTAACTTGCAATGGCGCTATCAATCATAACTAACTATTTACGTTTTTGTTTAGAGCAGCCCCCTCTTTTTTTTTTCTTCAGATTCAAAATGCCTTTTATATCTGCCCCCCTCCGAATCAATTAATCCCTTACCGGACAGCCGCACCCTTCAGGGTCTTGACTGTGCAAAGTCCACCGGACTGCGTCTTCAGCTTACCCAGAGCGGGCTTGTTCTCCTGGCCCTGCACGGCCGGAACGGCGCTCATATCAAAGGCAACCTCGAGGGCATCGGTGGTGGTGAATCCAGGCTGGTAGGTCTCCCAGACCTTCTTCTTAGGGTTGAGAACCTTCTCGGGCTCACCCTCGGTCCAGCCCTCGAAGCACACGCGCTCACCGGCAGGGGCATCGGCAGGAGGCGAAACGAGCTCGACGGGTCCAGCGTGCGAGTCCTCGCCCTCAGCCACGCGGGGAGAGGCGGCCAAGACCATGGCGCAGGACTTGATACCACGCATGGTGACGGGCTTCAGGTTGCAGACGGCGACGATCTTGCGGTTCTGCATCTCCTCCAGGGGAATCAGACCGTTCAGACCAGAGCACACAGTGCGGACGGTCTTGCCGGTGGCCTCATCCAGAGAGGTGTTCTCGGTGCCCGGGGCGTCACCGCAGTCGATGGTCGAGACGTAGAGGGAGTCGGCGTTGGGGTGGTTGACGGCACGAAGAATGTGACCGACACGGAGGTCAATGACGGAGGGAGACGGGGGAGCAGCAGGGGCGGGCGCAGCCTTGGCCGGCTTCTCCTTCTTTTCCTTCTTCTCCTTCTTGGGCTTGCCCTCGGGCTTAGCAGCAGCGGCGGCGTCACCCTTAGCACCGTCGGCCTTGGCCGCAGCCTCGGGCTTGCCCTGTCCGACAACGAGGGGCTTGCCAGCAGCCTCGGCGGGCTTCTGGGCAGCGGCCTTCTCCTTCTTCTTGCGCTCCTTCTCCTCCTTGGGGTCGACGGGCTTGGGCACGAAGCGGACGTCGTTCACGTCAATGGTGACCTTCTCCTCGTCGGGGATCTGGAGAGCGAAAATGCGGCTGTTCTGGACGAAGTCCACGTGACGGACGATGTGGTGGTAGCCCTGCTCACCGGTACGCTCCTCGGGGGTCCATTTCTCGACGAGAGGAGCGACGAGAGCGTAGACGGCAATATCAGCCACGGAGGGCTTCGCACCGAGCAGGGTTGTGCGGGTGGCGAGGTGAGAGTTCAGCTGGGCGAGGATGGTCGAGACGACGGGCTTGTCATCCTTGCTGAGAGCGGTCTGCAGACCGGAGATGGTGGCCAGCCATTGCTTGACGTCGGCCTCTTCGGCGACGGAAAAGCTAGTCTGCGGGAAGATTTTGGGGGTGGCCGTGTGAAGGTCGGGCTCCGTGGCGTCGGGGGAGATGGCGGTAGGGTAGGAGCGGTAGAGGAGGGAAAGGAGGGAGGACTCGGGGGCAGAGTTGATGGCCATTTTTGCGAATGGGCGACCGGCAGGCTGGAGGAAGAGGAGGAGGGACGACGAGGTGGTGAACGAAAGAGGAGGGGCAGGATTGAATCCTACGCAGTCACGGTGATTCAGCGGTCGAGCGAACCGCGGGGTTCTTCTGCTGGCGACCCGCAGAAGTGCCCCCGTTGGCCTGAGGAGCGTCACCTTGGTCGCTGCTAACACAAGATCCCTAACTGAAAGGGATCTTGTTTATTGGGTGAATTAAGGGATTTATATTAGATGATTCTTCTTTACAAGTTGAGTGATAATGCTAGCGACCAATTGAGAAGCACTCGGACTCTCTGCATTCACGGTCATTATTTTTTTCTTTCCTTTTTCCCCCTTCTCCCTTTCCGGGCTGATCGCCCAAAACCGTTTAGGGCTGTTGGCTTACTCAGCACTGCAAGTGCTTCTGATCTACGACATAGTTATAATTATCTGCAACAAACACCCTCTACCTCTTCTGAACAACTATTTCAGCAATGGCTCTATTTTCTCTGGCCGATATGGCATATTAATCTTGCTTCAATATGTAACATGAATTGTAACTACAGCCACGCGACTCCCGCCTTGACTCGCAGACCCAAGGCAAAGCAATGCGCGTGAGTAACTGTCCATCCATCTGCCCACGTAGGATACAGTCCAAATCTCAACCGATATTATTACTCGCGGGGGAAGTACAGAAAAGGAAACTAGTTCTTGGGGGAGGCAACACCAAGAGAGGGTCCACGCATGTCAAAGACGACAAAGAAGGCCTTCAGGAACGTGTCGCCCAGAATCTGCAGCGAGGTCTTGCCGTTGGATTGAATGCCGCCAAAGCACACTAACCAGCAATATCAGTCAATCATGTTCATTCAAGTATATTCAGTGAGGGAAACTTACAGGCCTGTCCGGTGGTGGTGTTGGTGCCAACCTTGGAGAAGTTGATCAGGTTGCCGGGGATCGTGGCCAGGCTCGACTCGCCGAGAACCAGGGAGAAGCTGGGGAGAGTGGTGTTACAGGGGTAGATGTAACCACCGGCACTGCCCACGTAGACCGAGTTGGGAACTTGCGCGTAGTAGGCAGTAACCACGTCGTCATCCAACAGCATAAGGGAGGTTCCGGTGTCCGCGATTGAGGTGTTCACGTTTCCAATGTCCTTCAGCTCTCCGTCTGCCACGGAAAACTTAGGGGTGGAGAACTGCCAGTATCCGTTCGATGAGTCCACGCTGACGTTGGCAATGTTGCCCTGGTACTTGTTCTTGTCGATCGTGCCAAACTCGTACTCGCCCACTCCGTCGGACTTGAGCGAGGCGGTCATGACGGGCTCGTCCAGACTGGATGCGACATTGGCGAAGAACGTCTTTTGCGCCTCCGGCTTGATGGTGTTGATGGAGGAAAAGCCCAACCCGACCAGGCCGTTGGAGTTCGTGTCGTCGATGAATGACTGGGATACCTTGTTGGGAACACCGAAGGCTTGCTCGTCGACAACGGCGCCGCCAATGTTGACGGTATCCGTTCCGACAGGGCCAGAGGCGTACGAGTCGTCACCATACGAGACATCGAAGGTGTATCCGTCCATCTTCTTGAAGGTCGAGGAGTTTGAAGGGTTGTACTCTGTGTGTCCCGTCAAGGTTTCATTGAGATTCGTATCAAGCACCCAACTGTAGTATGACGTTAATCATCGTACCAAAAAGTGAACAGCTGCAGTAAGACTTACAAGTCAGAAGAACCAGTGTCAAAGGTCATGACGACCTTCTGGCCGCCGATGAGCACAGGCGAAACGAACTCGGCATCGCTCTCAACCGAAGTAGCACTGACAGCGCCAGTCTGATCAGGCTCCGAAACCTCGCTTCCAGCAGCAGCATGGCTTGTGGTAATGGGCTTAAAGTCTGCCAGATCAATGTTGAAACTGCTGGGAGCTATTCCATACTTCCGGTATGCTTTGCGGAGAGCAGCGGGCCCATGCAGAGCACCGGTTCCACGACGGGCCCGTTCAACCTTGAAAGAGCGTGCTTTATGCTGGTTTGATGGACCGTGGGGTAAAGAGAGGACGCCGTAGCTGAAGCAAATGGCAACAACGAGAGACTGGAGGAGCTGCATGGTGGCTCACTCTGGATATGATGTCGACGGGCGGACTATAAAAAAAAGAGGGGATAGGGCCCGACAAGTTTCAGAACAAAACAATTCGAAAACAAAGAACGTATTAAGTAGTTTGAGAATTGAGAAATAGTATCCTTTCCAGAAGGATTGAGTTTTTAAAAAGGGGAAGCAGTATGGGGGCCAAAGTCCTGACTTAGCCTGGTATACTGTGATGTTACGAGGCTGAGTGAACCAACTGGCGGAGCAACGAACAGACCAGACCAAGAGAGAGAGAGAGAAAGTAGTAGCGCTCAGCCCAACAAAGCCCAGCAGATGAGAAAGAAAATGACAGCGGGAACAGAAATGAAAGAACACTAAGGTTAACGAACTAGAAGAGAAATGTAAACAAAAAGGGGAAAGAAGTGCAGTCTATAAAAGGGCAGCAAGTCGAAAAGGAAAAAGTTCGGAGAGGCATTATTCACCGTCGAGCGACTTTTAGCAGGCCCTACTATAGTTGATTCGCCCAAGACACCAAGACTTTTGCACTCTACATCGATCCACCCAGCACGGAGGCTGGAGGGGTGGCATTGTTCCAACTAGCTGGACCAGTCTGGTCCCAAAAGCCCAGCGGTGGAATCATCAACCAATCCTGGATGATCCAGGCCCAGTTAGCCTGGATTCACGGGAGAAAACCCAGGAGAAATCCATCTTCATTTGCCTGACACTGGCGGGGAGTGGGAGGAGAAAGAAAGTGGGTTCAACTTGGATCTTCCGCTTGTGCTGCTGCAGAAAACTCTATATTTTCTTCTGTTCACAGCAGCAGAGAGCGCATGGGACATGAGGAACCTGCCTTTGACAGGCGACTGGCCTCTATTCCTTGACAGCGACCGGGGCGAGCGAGTCCCTGAGTGGCTCCTGGTGAAACAGCCTAACCGCCAGGGCCAGGGGTCACCGGCCAATCACCAGTGAAAAACATCATGAAACACCAGCGTGCCTCGAAAGCGGTTCCGTGGATAAACTTTGAGTTAGGCGTGTTACAAAGTCCAGCGTGGGACGCCGGCTTTTTCCCACCGTCTGCCCTGCCATTGAGCCACTCGGCATTAATGTTCAGGCACCAGCAGCAGTGCACAAGGTACGCTGCATCGGCGTGGCTCCAGTCCACATAAGAATCTCGAATCCCGAGTACGTCAATGGACGAGTCATGCATGCGTGGCTAAACATTTCGCAATTGTGCACACGTACACAGTAGTAGATCGATCTGAACAGCAGGATTCTTACTCAGCCCTGGAAAGCCGCGTACGTAGGCAGTCGAGTTTTTTGGTAGTGTTCATCATTGCCCAAGAGAAGTTCAAGAAATTGAACGAATGGATGTCCGACAACACAGTTGGGAGATAGACTTTCTGTTTGCCCAGCGGTTGCTAGTTTCTTGGTTAACCCGTTAACCTGCCATGCAAAGAAAGCGTGACACAAGACAATCTATCTAATCGGCTACTCCGGGGGAAGGCTGATCTTGAACCTATCTAGGTAGTAGCAGCAATAATTCTGTATGTTTAGAAATGCTACTTATCTTTCTCGGCATTATCGAAGGCCTCATCAAGATCCAATCACACTAAAGACAAGAGTAGCACCCTGAATGTTCAACCTCGGGCCAACCCCCCGTTGCGGATCTTCATCAGCGGATTTCCGTCTCCCTCAAACAGAGCCAAGCAAACGGTGAGATGGAAATGGTCCGATGGATGGCTCGGCGGGGATTCACCTTTGCAATCTGCCAAGCACCCTTTTTCAGACCCCTTCTTTTCACTTGGCGGGCGGTCCGGCAGTTTCTAGTCGCCAAGCTGTCCAGCAAGTAAATATGACTGATGGAATGGGTGAAATTCATTATCATGTTACATAGTACCCTTCATGTTTGTATCTCGTTTCTATCTATAGGATCGACAGCAGCAAACTCCTTCGCTTTGGTCTAGGGCTTAGTGAGCACTAATAACGTAAGTCGGTAGTTGGTTATTAACTGCTAGTAAATTGCAGTAAACACACGAACTCCTGTCCATGAACACGGGTTCTTTCTCCCCCGCGCAGCCCCCAAGCTAGGTGTATCTCGCCCCCAATGGTGTAAGCGAAAACTACGAAGAGTGCCTTGGGGCAGTACGAAATTAGTAAAGAAAAGGAGAAGCGATGGGAAAGATCGAGCAGGAAACAAAGAACGGTTTAAAGATCTGGTATCTAAATGACTTCTTGGTCAAAAATGCCCGAAACACCCACAAATGAAAAGACCTCGGCTTGCTATCCCAATGCTGAACGCCCGTGAAATCAGATCTAACATCATATATATGATAAGAATCACTCCGCCACATCTTCCGGTAAAACGTCGTTGGGATCCTCTCCAATCATCCCAGCAACCGAGCGGACAACTTGCTTGATCGCAATCGATGCTGGACTGTCGGGATAATGATCCACGAAGCTCTCACCATAATCACATGCCATTCCCACCCGCGGGTCAAGAGGCACAGCGCCCAAGAAAGGAATGCCCATCTTCTTGGCGAGTCGCTTTCCGCCCCCGGTGGTAGCCCGGAAGATCTGGGTCTTAGTGTTGCACGACCCGCACACAAAGCCAGACATGTTTTCGACTAGCCCCAGGATGCGAATGCCTGCCTTGCGGCAAAAGTCAATTTCCTTCCTGACGTCGAGCAACGAGACCTCCTGCGGGGTGGTGACAACCACTGCGCCATCCACACCGGATTCCTTAAGAAGAGAGTTGACGGACAGATGCTCGTCCGATGTCCCTGGAGGTGTGTCGATGACCAAGTAATCCATCTCACCCCAATCCACGTCCTTCAGGAACTGTTTAATGAGTCCGTTCTTCTTCGGCCCTCTCCAAATCACCGCATCATCACGATTGGGCAGCATGAACTGCACGCTCATCGCGG